TTAGCGTCCCCGCGGCCCGGTCCTCGACCAGGCCTCCTTTTTGTTACACACTCCCAGGAAGCAGCCCGCGGCAGGTCTCTAATTCCCAGGTACCTACTTACTGCTAGGTGAACAGGAGCATCAGGGGGAAAGAAACTCTGCTCATCTGTTTCCGCGTCCACCGGGGGATCGAACCCGTGAGATTGAAGTTTCCACCGGGGTTGTGAAGTGTCCAAGCCCATGAACGGTTCAATAATTACACACACACACACACACACACACACACACAATGACTGAGAAAAGATGTACAGGTTTATTAAGGCAGCGTCTGGGATACTCCCGGATGCAGGTTCGAATCCTCGTCACGGCCCTCGTGGATTTGTCCATGTACAGGTTCTCGTAAGTGGACATGTAACAAATGCCTCACTGATCCTGGCCTTAGGGGAGCCGGTCGGCCGATCGGACAGCACGCTGGACTTGTGATCCTGTGGTCCTGGGTTCGATCCCAGGCGCCGGCGAGAAACAATGGACAGAGTTTCTTTCACCCTATGCCCCTGTTACCTAGCAGTAAAATAGATACCTGGGTGTTAGTCAGCTGTCACGGGCTGCTTCCTGGGGGTGGAGGCCTGGTCGAGGACCGGGCCGCGGGGACACTAAAAGAAAAAAAGCCCCGAAATCATCTCAAGATAACCTTGGTAATTACACCCACCCTCACACATTTCCCACCACTTCGTTAGCTAATACAAGCAACGTGAACCAGATCACCACGCTAACGAGGGCCGCGGTGAACCCAAAATATTTATCTTCCCTCTCACCAGATAAATCTATTTATTACGGCCGAAATTATCGTAAATGATGGAGTGTTAAGCCGCGTGATTTACGTTTAAAGATCCGATGTTTACATTGGCGGGAAACACGCCCAGCTGGGGAGGACGGCGGTGGTTCCTGACCCAGACCCGCTCACCACCCCGGCCGCCTACTCTGCTACCTTACCTGGACCCTGAGGTAACTAACTACGGCGGGTACACCGTCAGACTGTCTACCTACCGCGGGTAGACCATCAGACCATCTACCTACAGCGGGTAGATGCTACACTATACACAGGAACATAAGGGTGAAGGCGACTGCAGAAGGCCTATTGGCCCACACGAGGCAGCGCCTATTTATATCCACCCAAATTTATCTATATCCTTCACTGCACTCATGATACCTTCAGCTTAAACCCTAGAGCGGCTCTGCTCTTAGGACTAGAGCCTACTAGAGCGGCTCTGCTCTTAGGACTAGAGCCTACAAGAGCGGCTCTGCTCTTAGGACTAGAGCCTACAAGAGCGGCTCTGCTCTTAGGACTAGAGCCTACTAGAGCGGCTCTGCTCTTAGGACTAGAGCCTACAAGAGCGGCTCTGCTCTTAGGACTAGAGCCTACAAGAGCGGCTCTGCTCTTAGGACTAGAGCCTACTAGAGCAGCTCTGCTCTTAGGACTAGAGCCTACAAGAGCGGCTCTGCTCTTAGGACTAGAGCCTACTAGAGCAGCTCTGCTCTTAGGACTAGAGCCTACAAGAGCGGCTCTGCTCTCAGAACCAGAGCCAACAAGAGCGGCTCTGCTCTCAAGCCAGATTTTTATAATAAATTTATGAAATTTATATAAAACGATTATAAAATAAAATAAATTTTGGGTCACCATATTTTATTTGGCATTGCCGCGGGTAATCGGGTACCTACAGCAGTACGGTGGTGCGGGTACCAACAGCGGTACGGTAGTGCGGGTACCAGCAGCGGTACGGTGGTGCGGGTACCAACAGCGGTACGGTGGTGCGGGTACCTCCAGCGGTACGGTGGTGCGGGTACCTCCAGCGGTACGGTGGTGCGGGTACCAACAGCGGTACGGTAGTGCGGGTACCAGCAGCGGTACGGTGGTGAGGGTACCTCCAGCGGTACGGTGGTGCGGGTACCTCCAGCGGTACGGTGGTGCGGGTACCTCCAGTGGTACGGTGGTGCGGGTACCTCCAGCGGTACGGTGGTGCGGGTACCTCCAGCGGTACGGTGGTGCGGGTACCTCCAGCGGTACGGTGGTGCGGGTACCAGCAGCGGTACGGTGGTGAGGGTACCTCCAGCGGTACGGTGGTGCGGGTACCAACAGCGGTACGGTAGTGCGGGTACCAGCAGCGGTACGGTGGTGCGGGTACCTACAGCAGTACGATGGTGCGGGTACCAGCCGCGGTACGGTGGTGCGGGTACCTCCAGCGGTACGGTGGTGCGGGTACCTCCAGCGGTACGGTGGTGCGGGTACCTCCAGCGGTACGATGGTGCGAGTACCTCCAGCGGTATGATGGTGCGGGTACCTCCAGCGGTACGATGGTGCGGGTACCTCCAGCGGTACGATGGTGCGGGTACCAGCAGCGGTACGGTGGTGCGGGTACCTACAGCGGTACGGTGGTGTGAGTACCTCCAGCGGTACGGTGGTGCGGGTACCTCCAGCGGTACGATGGTGCGGGTACCTCCAGCGGTACGATGGTGCGGGTACCTACAGCATTACGATGGTGTGGTACCAACAACGGTACGGTGGTGCGGGTACCAACAACGGTACCACAACGCGAGTACCAACAACGGTACCACAACGCGAGTACCAACAACGGTACCACAACGCGAGTACCAACAACGGTACCACAACGCGAGTACCAACAACGGTACCACAACGCGAGTACCAACAACGGTACCACAACGCGAGTACCAACAACGGTACCACAACGCGAGTACCAACAACGGTACCACAACGCGAGTACCAACAACGGTACTACAACGCGAGTATCAACGATACCACAACGCGAGTATCAACGGTACCACAACGCGAGTACCAACAACAGTACCACAACGCGAATACCAACAACGGTACCACAAGGCGAGTACCAACAACGGTACCACACCGCGAGTACCAACAACGGTACCACAAGGCGAGTACCAACAACGGTACCACAACGCAAGTACCAACAGCAGTACCACAAGGCGAGTACCAGCAACGGTACCACAAGGTGAGTATCAACAACAGTACCACAACGCGAGTACCAACAACGGTACCACAAGGTGAGTATCAACAACAGTACCACAACGCGAGTACCAACAACGGTACCAACAACGCGAGTATCAACAACAGTACCACAACGCGAGTACCAACAACGGTACCACAACGCGAGTATCAACGGTACCACAACGCGAGTACCAACAACAGTACCACAAGGCGAGTACCAACAACGGTACCACAAGGCGAGTACCAGCAACGGTACCACAAGGTGAGTACCAACAACGGTACGAGGACGCGAGCAACGGTGGGATGGACCAAACAATTACAGCAACAGTAGCGAGGCTTCGCCAACGCTCGCTATCAAGGCAATGCAAACGAGATTTTTTGCCTCGAAATTTTTGTTGTCTTTGCGTCATTTGATTCAACACTCCGCTTCGCGGGTACGCAAGCTTCACACACACACACACATATATATATATATATATATATATATATATATATATATATATGTCGTACCTAGTAGCCAGAACACACTTCTCAGCCTACTATGCAAGCCCCGATTTGCCTAATAAGCCAAGTTTTCATGAATTAATATATTTTCTCTAAATGTTTTTCTTATGAAATGATAAAGCTACCTATTTCATTATGTATGAGGTCAATTTTTTTTTATTGCAGTTAAAATTAACGTAGATATATGACCAAACCTAACCAACCCTACCTAACCTAACCTATCTTTATAGATGAGGTTAGGTTAGGTAGCCGAAAAAGTTAGGTTAGGTTAGGTTAGGTAGTCGAAAAACAATTAATTCATGAAAACTTGGCTTATTAGGCAAATTGGGCCTTGCATAGTAGGCTGAGAAGTGCGTTCTGGCTACTAGGTACGACATATATATATATATATATATATATACAAGCTTCACGGTATGCATAAGTTTCGGGCTATTCATGCCTGTGCCACGCAAGCTTCATGCACACTTTCCATATATGCAGCCTGCACGTGTTCGCAAACTATATGTGTACGCAAGCTCCACTTATACGCAAGCTCCATGTATACGCAAGCTTCACGTATACGCAAACTCCACGTATACGCAAATTCCACGTATACGCAAGCTCCACGTATACGCAAGCTCCACGTATACGCAAGCTTCACGTATATGCAAGCTTCACGTATACGCAAGATCCACGTATACCCAAGCTCCACGTATACGCAAGCTCCACGTATACGCAAGCTTCGCATGTATGCAAGCTTCAGGTATACGCAAATTCTCTTGAACAAAGTTAATATAGAAATGGAGATGCTCATTACTATGGTCTCGATAATGTAATCAAAATAATTAAACTTTTCCAGAGTTAAAATAAACGTATATGTTTATTATTATTATTATTATTATTATTTATTATTAATATTATTACTATAATTATTATTATTATTTGTATAACCAGTGTTATGATTTAATTAATGAAGTTTCATATGGAATATGTCTAAGTGAGAGTTAGGAATGAGTGATGATGCTGAATATGTTTGAGCGAGAGTTAGTGAATGAGTATTGTTATGGAATATATTTAAGTAAGTTAGTGAATGAGTATCGATGTTGAATATGTTTGAATGAATATAGACGAGTGTGTGCGTGTGTGTGTGTGAGATGAGGGGAGGGGGGGATGGTGCTGTAGAGCATCTGAGGCTACGAGAGCAACCTATACTCTACTACACGCGCTGGATGGAGGAGTTATCTTGAGTTTATACGGTGCTACTCTCAAGTGGAGAGGAAGAGAGAGAGAGAGAGAGAGAGAGAGAGAGAGAGAGAGAGAGAGAGAGAGAGAGAGAGAGAGAGAGAGAGAGAGAGAGAGAGAGAACAGTGAAGGAGAGTTAGAGATAAGTGAGAGATACACACAAGAGGTACATCTAGTGAGACAAGAGGTACAGCCAGTGAGACACAAGAGGTACACATAATGAGACACAAGAGGTACACATAATGAGACACATGAGGAGGGTGTAGCGACGTACCTGGCGGCGAGGGAGTCGTGCTGGTGACTGAAGGAGAAAGGCGAGTCGCAGTTCGAATCCTTCTTCGGGTCATCACGACTGAGGATACTGGAAATGCTGAAGGATTTGTGTGAGGGAGGCGAGGACGTCTTAGGGGAGCTGGCGCCGCTGTCTGAGCTCCTGGCTGGGGTAGGACTAGTGCTGGAGACCTCCGGGGTGGCCGCCGAGGTCCTGTGGGCATCTGCCAGGGGCGACGGGGACCTACTGACGGCGACGGCGGGACTGCTGCGGATGACGCTGGCCACCTCGTACGACATGGTGTGCGAGGGAGTGGGGTCAGGTAGGTCACTGAGTGGCAAACTTCACGTCACCTCATAGCGGGAGAGGAGCTGGCACTCTCACCTGGCACCCAACGCGCCTCTCACACCCGCTAATGCTCACCAAATTCTGCCTAACGAGTCAAAAATCACTTCGCAAGTCTGGTAAACTGTGGGTTAACTTTATCACTGTCAAAGTTGCAAGGTTCAGTGTCAGTACGAGTGCGGGTGAACTGGTGCTCGGCACACAGTAGGGACACCGTCCGGAGGCGCGCCAATTGAACAGGTGAAGAGCAGGTGAAAAAGTGCGCTTATTGCTCCGATGCCGAACGCGGAGTGACGATAGAAGCAGAGAAAAAGCGAGCATTTGAGTGTCTCAAGTGGACCCGCCATTTCCCCGCCCACAAGACTAATGGCTTCGATCTGCTCCCTGGTTCTTCGCGGTCATTGGCTGCCGGCCACGAGGGGGTGTGGTCTGCTGGTCCTACCTGCCACCCGATTGGCCCAGCAACTCGAGTGTCGAGGTATCATACTCCCGTTGATTGGCTGAGCGGCAAAGTTAATTTCACGCTGTTACAAGTGTAGTCGGCGCGTAAGTGTGGAAGGCGACACCTCGCCTGACGCCCTGGTGGATTGGGCCCCCCGATCTCTGAATAATTTATGGAGGATCACACACACACGCACACCAGAGTCAAGATGGCTCGGGGAGTGATATCCCCGCCGCCGCTGGACCGAGGGGGCTCACGCCTGCCAAAATACCATCGGGCGCCTGGTCCCTCTACACAGATGCGGCCTGGCGCGCTTTTATCACAACACAACTCTTACAAGGTTATCCTTCCACTTTTCACCCCCTCTCTTGCTGCCGGTGGGTGGGTGGTGGGCCGGCCGGTGGGTGGTGGTGGGGTGGGGTGGGCCGGTGGGTAAGGCAGCGACGCCTGAAGAGGACGGTAATGCCTCTTGTCCTGCACTTCCAGGCGGGCATTACAAGACAGTTTCTCTCAGCCGCGTCAGCGAGGCTCGCCCACACTGCCTCGTCTGTTACCAACTTTGAGAGGGTGGTGAGGGAGGGGGGTGCCTGCCCCCCGCCTCCCTTCTTCCAGCAACACTCACACTATGAGTGCTTGGCTGCCCCCTCTTCCCCCCCAACAGCACACTATGAGAGGGTGCTTAACCCCCCCACTACCCCAGCAACACACTATGAACACCTGACCCCCCCCCCCCACCTACACACCCAACACAAGCAAACCAAGATCACTACATAATTCCCTCTCACTAATTCTCCATCACAATTCAGAATTCCATATTATATATATATATATATATATATATATATATATATATATATATATATATATATATATATATATATATATATATATAAATCGTTCCAAAACTTACGACCTTGGAAGAAATGTGAATCATACGGGACATGATAACAACGTACAAGATACTGAGGGGAAAGGGGGTGGACAAAGAGGGAATGTTTGAAATAAGAAAGGGTAGAACCAGCGGACACGGGTGGAAGCCTAAGACACAGATAAGCCAGGAGACGTCAGTAAAATCTTCAAGGTAAGAGTCGCTAGGGAAGAGATTGGTCTACACAAGGGTAGAGTGTTGAGACAAATGCAATAAGCAGCTACAAAGTGAAGAACACCGACAGATAAAAGGAATTTAAGCCCCGCTGCATTAACTGATTACGAGATGGAAAGGTGGGCCTAGGGAGCTATTGCTCCATCTTTTAAACACACCTTGGTGATCGCGCGCGAGCTAAGCCACGTCTCCTGGCTTATCTGTGTCTTAGGCTTCCACCTGTGTCCACTGGTTCACGCATGCATGCACGCACCTTGAGGTTACCTTGAGGTGCTTCCGGGGCTTAGCGTCCCCGCGGCCCGGTCGTCGACCAGGCCTCCTGGTTGCCGGACTGATCAACCAGGCTGTTGGACGCGGCTGCTCGCAGCCTGACGTATGAGTCACAGCCTGGTTGATCAGGTATCCTTTGGAGGTGCTTATCCAGTTCTCTCTTGAACACTGTGAGGGGTCGGCCAGTTATGCCCACGCACACGCACACGCACACTCGTAGCTACCGTCATCTTCTTGAGGTTATTTTCGGGGCTTACTGTCCCCGCGGCCCGGTCCTCGACCAGGCCTCCTTTTTTGTTATACACCACCAGGAAGCAGCCCGAAGCAGCTGTTTAACTCCCAGGTACCTCTTTACTGCTAGGTGAACAGGGCATCAGGGTGAAAGAAACTCTGTCCATTTGTTTCCGTCTCCATCGGGGATCGAACCCGGAAACTTTGGACTACGAATCCGAAGCGCTGTCCACTCAGATGGCAGTCCCCTTACTAACTCCATTCATAATTTTAAAAGAAGGTATGATAGAGAAATAGGTCAGGAGTCACTGCATTAGCCATCCAACGGCTAGAGAAGCGGGGTCCAAGAGCTAGAGCTCGATTCTGTAAGCACAAATGTGAGTACACATACACACACACACACACACACACACACACACGCACACGCACACGCACACACACACAGATATTAGAAAGAACTTTTTTAGTGTCAGAGTGGTTGACAAATGGAATGCACTAGGAAGCTGGTGGTGGAGGCTGACTCCATACACAGTTTCAAGTGTAGATATGATAGAGCCCAGTAGGCTCAGGAACCTGTACTCCTGTTGATTGACGGTTGAGAGGCGGGACCAAAGAGCCAGAGCTCAACTCCCGCAAGAACAAATAGGTGAGTACAAATAGATGAGAACAGACACACACACACACACACACACACACACACACAACAACACTTCCATGGAGTGTTCACAACCGAGCCTGAGTGGCTCCCACTGGTAGAAGAGATTACCCTAGACGGAAGACTATCAGATATAGAGGTGACAGCAGAGGAGGAAATGAAACAGTTGACAACACTGTATGCAACTAAAGCGGTTGGACCAGACAAAGTATCACCGTGGATACTAAAAGAGGCAGCACAGGCCCTCAGCGTGCCTCTGGCAATGATCTTTAGTGCGTCACTTATGTCGGGAGAATTGCCCAGTTGCTGGAAGGAGGCAAATGTCGTACCGATTTTCAAGAAAGGTGATAGGGAGGAGGCACTTAACTACAGACCCGTATCACTGACAAGCATCCCCTGTAAAATACTTGAAAGAATAATTAGGCTAAGACTTGTTGAGCACCTGGAGAGCATTGGGTTTGTAAACAAGCACCAACATGGGTTCTGGACAGGGAAATCATGCCTAACAAACCTTTTGGAATTCTATGATAAAATAACAAGGATAAGGCAGGACAGAGAAGGCTGGGCAGACTGCATATTTCTTGACTGCCAAAAGGCCTTTGATACGGTACCGCACATGAGACTGCTATACAAACTTGAGAGGCAGGCAGGAGTAAGCGGAAAGGCCCTAGTATGGGTGAAGAACTACCTAACAGGAAGGAGCCAGAGGGTAATGGTAAGGGGCGAAAAGTCGGACTGGCGAACAGTAACGAGTGGAGTACCTCAAGGATCGGTGCTGAGATCAATTCTATTTCTAATTAACGTAAATGATATGTTTACAGGAGTGGAATCCTACATGACAATGTTCGCGGATGACGCAAAACTAATGAGAAGAGTTGTGACAGATGAGGATTGTAGGATCCTCCAGGAGGACCTGGACTGGTTGCAGAGATGGTCAGAGAATGGCTACTGGAGTTCAACACGAGTAAATGTGAAGTTATGGAAATGGGATCAGGTGATAGGAGACCAAAGGGACAGTACACAATGAAGGGAAACTGCCTACCTGTGATGATTCCAGGAAGAGACCTGGGAGTGGATGTAACACCTAATCTAATTCCTGAGGCACATATAAATAGGATAACGACAGCAGCGTACTCTACACTGGCAAAAGTTAGAACATCATTCAGAAACCTAAGTGAGGAGGCTTTTAGGGCGCTTTACACTGCCTACGTGAGACCAGTCTTAGAGTATGCCGCGCCATCATGGAGCCCCCACCTGAAGAAACACATAAGGAAACTGGAAAAGGTTCAGAAGTTTGCGACGAGGCTTGTCCCAGAGTTACGAGGGATGGGATATGAAGAGCGCCTGAAGGAATTGAACCTTACGACACTAGAAAAAAGAAGGGAGAGGGGGGATATGATAGGAACGTATAAAATACTCAGGGGAATTGACAAAGTGGAAATAGATGAAATGTTCACACGTAATAGTAACAGAACGAGGGGACATGGGTGGAAGCTGGAAACTCAGATGAGTCACAGAGATGTTAGGAAGTATTCTTTTAGCGTGAGAGTAGTGGAAAAATGGAATGCACTTAAGGAGCAGGTTGTGGAAGCAAACTCTATTCATAATTTTAAAACTAGATATGATAGGGAAATGGGACCGGAGTCATTGCTGTAAACAACCGATGGCTAGAAAGGCGGGATCCAAGAGTCAATGCTCGATCCTGCAAGCACAAATAGGTGAGTACACACAGTTGAGACACACAAAGCTCACAAGCATTACCACCATGGTTCAACAGGAAGAGCATTACCACCATGGTTCAACAGGCAGAGCATTACCACCATGGTTCAACAGGCAGAGCATTACCACCATGGTTCAACAGGCAGAGCATTACCCCCATGGTTCAACAGACAGAGCATTACCACCATGGTTCAACAGGCAGAGCATTACCACCATGGTTCAACAGGCAGAGCATTACCACCATGGTTCAACAGGCAGAGCATTACCCCCATGGTTCAACAGGCAGAGCATTACCACCATGGTTCAACAGGTAGAGCATTACCACCATGGTTCAACAGGCAGAGCATTACCACCATGGTTCAACAGGCAGAGCATTACCCCCATGGTTCAACAGGCAGAGCATTACCACCATGGTTCAACAGGCAGAGCATTACCACCATGGTTCAACAGGCAGAGCATTACCACCATGGTTCAACAGGCAGAGCATTACCACCATGGTTCAACAGGCAGAGCATTACCACCATGGTTCAACAGGCAGAGCATTACCACCATGGTTCAACAGGCAGAGCATTACCACCATGGTTCAACAGGCAGAGCATTACCACCATGGTTCAACAGGCAGAGCATTACCACCATGGTTCAACAGGCAGAGCATTACCCCCATGGTTCAACAGGCAGAGCATTACCCCCATGGTTCAACAGGCAGAGCATTACCCCCATGGTTCAACAGGCAGAGTATTACCCCCATGGTTCAACCGTCAGAGCATTACCCCCATGGTTCAACAGGCAGAGCATTACCCCCCATGGTTCAACAGGCAGAGCATTACCACCATGGTTCAACAGGCAGAGCATTACCCCCATGGTTCAACA